AAGTCCAGCCCCTCCTCAAAGGAGGACAGATCACGTTCCATGTCCTGAGATGGTACAGTTCGGCTATGATTTGATGGTCCCCCAAAAGTGTCTGTAATTGGAGCTTGTTCTCAGGGTGACCCTATGCAGAGGCAGTGGGTCCTTTAAGAGGCAGAGCCTAATAGGAGGTCTTTAGGTCATTGGGGCGTGGCCTCAGGAGGAATTAAGGAGTTCCCATGGCATGGTGGTTATGAAAGGAGCAGCCTGGCTCATCCATCTCTCTCTGCTTCCTGGCTTGGACCCTGTATCTGCCATTGCCACCCTCCAGGGCTCACGTGCTGAAGGCTTGTTAAAAGGTCATGGTACCTTTAAGAGGTGGGGCCTAGTGGGAGGTCCTTAGGTCGCTGGGGGCATGGCCTTGGAAGGGATTAAAGGCATTCTCACGGTGTCCTGGTTAGTCATCAGAGAGTCCCAGGATCCCTCTACTACTGGGTCTTCACCAGAAATGAGCCGATGCTGGCACCTTGCCCTTGAACCCCCAACTGTGAGCTAAACAAACCTCTTTTCCTTTCTAAATAGCCTGTGTCGGGTATTCTGCTATAGTGACAAAACGCTGGGTATCAGACAGACAGCTGGTCACATATATGAAGTGGAATTCTTCCATAAGAACCATTTTGTCTTCTTCATTGACCTTGTGTATTTAATAATAAAATAATAAAAATGATCATTATTGAATATTGCTGTATTGATCACCTGATCATTTATTTATTTCACTACGGATCTTGGGACGGATTACGTAAGATAAGCTCCCCCAAAAACTGGGTACCCAGAAAATATCCCTTTTCCTCTCCTCCTTCCTCTCTGTCTCCCTGTCTAGGAATAACAAAAAAAAATCTTCCTTTTCTCCCCCCCTTGACATTTAGCAAGGCACCTTTAAATATTTTCTATAGTATTAACTAAATTGTGCTTGTGGAAGAAAAATTGGAAGAGACGAAGAAGCAAGGAGAAAAAAGGATCCTGGATTCCACCACCTGACAGCAGCTGAGTATGGCGTCTTTCAGGGCGGGGATTTGAATAATTTTATTTACAGTTTTTATTTTATGTACTGGGATACTAGCCTTGACTGCCCCATTTTTTTTCTGGTGGTACTGGGGTTTGAACTCAGAGCTTTGTGCTTGCACAGCAGCTGCTCTATCGCTTGAACCACACCTCCAGTCCATTTTGCTCTGGTTATTTTGGAGATGGGGTCTTGGAACTATTTGCCTGTGCTGGCCTCAAACTGTGATCCTCCTAATCTGAGCCTTCCAAGTATCTAGGATTACAGGTGTGAGCCACCACACCCTGCTTGATTCTCTTTTAAAATTAATCTCCCCCAACTCATTGTGCAGTGACCACATCCCCACACCCTAATTCTTCTCCCAACAGATGATTTTTAATGACGATGTGGCTCTCTGTCATCTGGAGGGAACATATGGTATTTAACCGATTCCCTAATGTCAGGCTTTTAGTTGTTCCCTGTTTTGTTCTGGTTTTATAAATAACTCCAAGCTGCACATCCTGACATAAACCTTCGACAGCAATGCTGATGAACTGAGGTTAGGATTTCTTCAAAAGGCAATTTAATCAGAAAGTCAAGGAAAAGAGTAAGGGGAGAAATAAATCAAAAACCTGCAAACCTGAGATGTAAGATGAGTTTGGGAATGCTCTCTCCCCAACATCTCTCTGACTCTCTCTTTCTCTACTCAGATGGCACCTCCTCCAAGCAGCCCTCCCTGATAGCCTGACCTAGACTAGTGTCCACCATTCATCTTGTCCTCTTGCCCCAGGGGACACATTTCTTACTGTCGATCTTCTATTTTATTATTTATTATTTATCACAAAGATCCCAGACACTGTGCCTGTCTGGGGGGAAGACAGACCAAGGGAGATCCGGTTGGTTTGGAAGTAGTTTCTCCCCCAAAGGTTCATGTGCTGGAGCCTTGGCCCTCAGCATGGTGATGTTAAAAGGTAGTGGGACCTTCAAGAGGTGGGACTTAGTGGGAGGTCTTTTAAGTTACTGGGGTGTGGCTTTGGAAGGGATTAAGGAAGTTCTCAGGGACCTGGTTAGTTCTTGCAAGATGGCTCCTCCCTGTTTTCTGGCTCCCTACCTCATTATGTGAACTCTCCCTCTTGCCCACCATGAGGGCCAACATGAAGTCCTCACCAGAGTGGAGTCAGTGCTGGTACCATGCCCTTAAACCTCCAGAACTGTGAGCAAAATAAAATTATTTTCTCTATAAAGCTTCCAGACTCAGGTACTTTGTTATAGCAGCAGAAAACAAATTAAGCATCCTAGGATTGACTTGGGCATGGCTGGTAGATGAGTGGGAGAGTGCAGGTCCTCCATGTGCAGGAGGAAGCCAGGGACTGATTTCCCAGCAGGACAAATGAGCAACAGCTTATCTGGCAACTTCAGCCCTTGGGGCAGGAAGACAGGAGACTTCTGTGAGCCCCGAGAGCCACACATGCAAACAACCCCAGGGTGCTCTGTGGAGTCACCACACTTACGTCATTTTTCTCTCTGATCCCAAATCTTTGCCCTTGCCCTTCTTTGGCTGCTGACAGGGCACTGGTTTGGGGCTCTCTGGCCCCAAACTCGCTTAGTGAAGGAAGATGTACTGTGTCGAGGATGGAGGTGGCTTTAAAATTTGCACAGCTAAATGTTTACGACCCCAGCTACTTGGGAGGCTGAGGCAGAAGGAGCCCTGAGACCAGCAGTTTAAAACTAACCCAGGCAACATAGTGAGACCTCCATCTCAAAAATAAAATAAATCGCCAGGTGCTGGTGGTAGACGTCTGTAATCCTAGCTACTCAGGAGGCAGAGATCAGGAGGTCCAAAGCCAGCCTGGCCAAATAGTTCACGAGACCCTATCTCAAAAAACCCTTCACTAAAAAAAGGGATGGTGGAGTGGCTCAAGGTGTAGCCCTGAGTTCAAGCCCCAGTACCGTCAAAAAAATTTTTTTTAGGGGGGTGAATGAGATCAGAAGTATCACAGTTTGAGGTCAGCTTGGGCCAATAGTGGAGACCCCCATCTCCAAAATAACCAGAACAAAATGGACTGCAGATGTGGCTCAAGTAGTAGAGTGCTTGCTTTGCAAGTGTGAAGCCCCATTCAGACCACAAAAAACAAATCTATCAAAATTAAAAATGAACTTAGCCTTTGAGTTTGCAAGCCCACTTCTGGGACTAGACATCCCCACCTTCCTATGTAAGAAAACACATGTGCAACACTGCAGCAATGTATCAGTGAGTGAAAAACATCTAGACATTTCTCTCGATAGGCAGTCATACCGTGGAATATTATGCTGCTATAGAAAAGGATGGGGAGACTCTCTATGTCTTGTGACAGAGAGAGAAAATGCTTGACTAGGACAGCATTTGGTGTAAGGAAGAAGAGGGAGGACGTACATGTGGTTCTGCTTATGTAGTTTACATTCCACCTCTGCACATTCAACTAGCTGCACATTGAAAATATTTGAAAAAAAGAATGTGCCTGAACTGAACACGTACGGACCTTTCTCCTTGTCATTACTCCCTAAATAATTCAGTATGACAGTGATTTATATAGCATTTAAATTCTGTTACCTAGCATAAGTCAGCCAGAGGTCATTTAAAGAATATGGAAAGATGTAAATTCATTCTGTGCCACTGTAACACTATTTTATTTCATGATCTATTTATTTTTATTTATTTATTTATGGTGGTCCTGGGGTTTGAACTCATGGCTTCGCACTTGCAAAGCAGACACTCTACCATTTGAGCCACACCTCCAGTCCATTTTGCTCTGGTTATTTTGGAGATGGGGGCTCAAGAATTATTTACCCAGGCTGAACTTGAACTGTGATCCTCTTGGTCTCAGCCTCCCAAATAGCTGGGATTATAGGCGTAAGCCCCTGGCACTGGGCTATAAGATCATTTTGTAGAGAAGATTTGGTATGGGTGGGTTTCCTGGAACCAGTCCCTCATGGGTATGGAGGGATGACTGTCTGTGCACAATGGAAGAAGTCAGAGAAGAAAAGGGGTCATGAATGGAAGGAGGGGGACAGGAGCACGGGCAGAAGGGGCACAGGAGCAGGGGCATACACCTTTTCAGACCTGCCCCATAATTTTTTTTTTTTGTGGTACCGGGGTTTGAACTCAGGGCCTCACTCTTGCTAAGCAGGCACTCTGCCACTTGAGCCACTCCGCCAGTCCTCCTCATGACATTTTTATGATCTAGGGCAAGAATCAAACAGAGGCCACATACAGCATGCAAATCTTTGAAAGCCAGTAAATAAAACATGCTCTGTGCACCCACTTTTGCAAACTAAGCTTCATAAACACTTGGCAGGCAGGGGTGGGATCCAGAATCTGGATGGCTGTGTTGGATGGCGATGTGTGGTGGGTCAGCCTTGAATTTGACCGTGGCCTGTCCCCTCCTCTTCCTGCCTCTACTCACAGCTCTGTTCTCCGTGCACATGGGCAGACATCCAGCTACAGTCAAAGCTAAGTTTCAACTAAGAGCTGGAGCTTGCTTGCCCCTGAGGGGTATCAAAGGTGTCACCAGACCCATGGAAGAATTGCTTGGAAGTGCATGGAATTTGGGCGTGGACAGGGAGCCCCAGTAACCCACAGCTTGTCTAGAAAGTGGGGTGCGGTCTGCTGGTATACATGCTCCTTGGGGACCCCATATCTCATGGTGAACACAAGACCAGATGGGGTCCAGGATGGACCACCTTGCCCCGGTTCAAACACATGACTGTTCTAGTTTATCCATGTCGGGTTTAGGATTGCATAGCCTCTACATATCCCAAAATCTAAAATTATATTTAAATAACTGCTAAAGCATTAGCCTTCCATTACCCAAAGACCTTTCTTATAGCTCCCTAACTAACTCGTGAGCCCCAAGCCTCTGGCATCATCAAAGCCCAGGATGGTTTCTCTAGGGCTGTGCCGAAGTCCTTACTGAACGGTGTCCCCGCACTGTCCCGAGCCACTCACGTTGTAGAGGAGGTCCGTCCACCCCTTCCATGGTGATGCACTGGAATACGGTGAGCACTGCAAACAGGATGTTGTCAAACTGAGTGATCCCGTTGTTGGGCCCTTCCCAGTAGGGTTGGCATTTTGTCCCATTGGGGCAGGTGCGGGCGGGTTCCTCTGTCCCACACGGAGCTGGAGACTCACTCTGAATGTCATCTATGGAAGGAAAGGAGAGGAGTCAGCAGCAGGAGCAGGAAAAACCAACAGAGAAATAAGGAGCACTGAGCAGTCAGTGCTGCCAGGAAGCATGGCGATCGGGAGGCTAGTCATTTTGTTAATTAAGGTCTGGCTGTGTCGATCTAGTAACTATTTCTCATTTCACTACTGCATCCTTGAACCTTTATCATGAGTCTCTTCCTCCCTCCAACCCTGTGGGCTTATTTTGCAGTTCTTTTCCTAAACTGTTGAGGCATGTTAATTTTTTTTAAAGGCTATAAATTGCCCTTAAAGTGTGACTTTAGCTGTATCTCATTAAAAGTTGTCATGCATTATTACTGTTAAAATATTTCCCAACTTAAAAATATTTATTTATTTATTGTTATACTGGGTGTGGGTACATTGTGGCATTTACAAAAGTTCTTATAACGTATCAAATATATCATACTCGAATTCACCCCCTCCTCCACTCTCCTTTACCCCTTCCTTCCTCCCAACTTCTATCATGATTTTTCTTTGACCCATGGATAATTAAGAAACATTTCTTTGAAAAAAAAAACACTTCTTACATATATGGAGACAGAGACAGAGAGAGAGAGACAGAGACAGAGAGAGACAGAGAGAGAAAGACAGAGACAGAGAGAGAGACACACAGAGAGACACAGAGAGAGAGACAGACAGAGAGAGAGACAGAGAGAGAGACAGACAGAGAGAGAATACTACAATGAATCCCCACATACCATCACCAATTTCAACACTTATCACCCTGGGTCAATGTTTCACTTCGATTTCTTCTGAACACTTTGCCTTTCTCACTAGAATCTTTTAAAAGGAAATCTCACGTCTCAGGGCTGGAGGTGTGGCTCAAGCAGTAGAGCACATGCTTACCAAGCAAGAGGCCCTGAGTTCAAACCCCAATCCCACCAGAAGGAAAAAAAGCAAACCTCAGACATATCACTTCATGCACAAGTAAGAGAGGTGTTTGTCTTAATTCTGGACGCTCAGCCTAACTGCACTGTGACGAGGCTCCACGTTGCGTTTTCCAGTCTTTTGCGCTCTGCTGGGCTGAGTGTTGTCCTTAACAGTCGCTTTGGGCAAATGTGGGTCCTACAGTCATTGGGCGCAGCGTTCTCAGCCACCAGGACAAATCTGTCAACTGACTTGTGTTGTTCTTCTATAGACTCCATGATTTTTTTTGCTTCTTGACATATACCGGGCTCTGGGAGCTGTTCTGGGGGCGACGGACACCAGTACACACAGTCCCTATCCCTGCCTGAGGATGAGGAACGGAACTGAGCTCTCTCTCCAAATAGCACGAGACAGATTGTGCAAATGCCAGGAGAGAAATGTGCTAGAAGCAGGCGGGTTGAGCGCTAAAGGTCAAGTCCAAGCCTCAAGGAACTGAGGAGGGGGGTGGGGAGCACCGAGTACCCATCGCTCACGCCTGGGCACGTCCTCATCAGGTCACAGCTGCAATCTTTGCACGAATGACACTTTTCTTTTTCTTCCTTTTTTTTGGGTGAGACTAGGATTTGAACTCAGGACTTTGTGCTTGCTAAGCAGAGGCTCTACTGCTTGAGCCACACCTCCAGTCCATTTTGCTCTGGTTATTTTGGAAATATGGCCTCTTGAACTATTTGCCTGTGTTGGCCTTGAGTAAGGATCCTCCTGATCTCAGCCTCTCAAGTAACTAGGATTACAGACATGAGCCACCAGTATCTGGCCACACTTCTTGTTTTGGAGACAGGGTCTCCCCATGCAGCCCAGGCTGGCCTTGAACTCTTGATCCTCCTGCCTCTGCCTCTTGAGTGTTCGGATTACGGCGTGCACCACCATGCCTGGCTGAGTGACACTTTTGAAGGTTAAGATAAAGTGGTATGTCCCACATGAAAACAAGCAGCTGAATGTGTAAACTCAAGCTTCCTACTCAACAAAAATACATCTCAATGTATGCGTGACAGGCCTGTTGCATCAATTCCCAATCTCCGCCAGGCACACTGCAGACAGAAGTAACACCAATGCTGGCTAAATGAATCTTGGTGGCCTTTCAAGGTCCCATTAGATAGAAAGATGTGCTGGGCGTGGTGGTGCACGCCTGTAATCCCAGCACTCAGGAAGCTGAGGCAGGAGGATCACAAGTTGGAGGCCACTCCAGGCTACAGAGGAATACCATGCCTCAAAAAAACTTAAAAATAGCTGGGCACCGGTGGCTCACGCCTGTAATCCTAGCTACTCAGGAGGCAGAGATCAGGAGAATCACAGTTCAAAGCCAGCCCAAGCAAATAGATTGTGAGACCCTATCTCAAAAAACACCTAACACAAAACAGGGCACATGGCTCAAGTGGTAGAGCGCCTGCCTAGCAAGTGTTCAAACCCTGGTACCATCAAAAAATAAAAAATAAACCTTAATAATAAATGGAAAGAGGAGGAGGAAAAGAAGACAGAAAAAAAAGAAGAAAAATACTAAGTCTAGCCTTGCCACTCCTTTAAATAGCTGGAAGCACCTTCCCCCTTGATGCTAGACTACTTAATAAATACAGTCAGGAAAGCAAAAAAAAAAAAATCTTTTAAACATGGGCTCAGAGAAAAACCTCAGCGTCTCTTATAATAAACAGAAGCTTGGTGTGCTGGGAAAGTCGCCTCTGTCTGGAACCTTCTAGATCTGCCAGTGTCCCCATCTGGCTCAGTCCCACCCTTGTCAGCAGCTCCCTTCCATTTGCCCAGTTAATTCAGGCGTCCCCATTTCCTCAGGCTTCCAGTACCCCCCAGATGTTCATAACTGGGGGTGGTGTGCAGATAGAATCCCACTTTAGGCTCAGGGCTATAAATGGTTACAAGGGGGGGGAGTGTCTCTTTCCTCCAGGGCTTTTTGGGAGCTCTTACCCCACAGAAAGGTTTCTACTTTGTGTTGAAGTTGCTGGGTGTTTAGGATGGCATCGGAGACAGGAACTGTGCTGCTCATGCGAGGGAAGGAAACTGAGAACCACTCTATCTTTAGCAGTGATGCCCAGACTGTTGGGGTTTTTTTTGGCAGCACTGGGATTTGAACTCGGGGCTTCACACTTGCTAGGCAGGTGCTCTACCACTTGAGCCCCATGGCCAGCCCCCAGTGGTGTTCTTGGCTTCAGGTCCCCTCAGCCCCCCAAACACCACCGACACCAAACACTCTGACACAGCCATCCAGAGAGGCTGAGGAATTGGGTTATAAATATATTTTAAAATTAACCTGCTGCCTGGGTGTCTGCATATAATCTGTCTCTTATTCACACAGCTTATATTTTTAATTGTGAGCTTTTCAGTTTTCCCCCCTAAATTGAGGCGTCTTAACCCTCCAGTGGCTCCACTCCAACCCACGTCTGTTCCCTCACAGCCTCATTTAGACCCAGGTCAGCCTTGGGCTCCTTTTAGCAAATCTTACATGGGAAAAAAGAAAACCCCACAAAACTTCACAAAAGACTAGGATCTTAGGAGTCCTGGCCTCTCCCTACTTTCAAGTGAGTTCTCTCTCCCTCTCCCTCCCTGTCTCTTCCCCTCTCTCTTCTCCCCCCACCCCATTTCCGTCTAGCTGATGAGGCCAGGTGCAGAAATAGCTCTGCCTCAATTAACACCTTCTTCATTGGGGAGAGAAATAATTAGGACTTCCATATTGAGCAAACTTCGCAGCCCAGAAGAGGAGACAGGAGAAGCAGGAGGAAAAGAAGAAAAAACCCTCCAGCCTTCTGGAATAAACCCTTCCCTCCAGGTGTCCCTCCCCCTGGGGAGGTGTGGGGACAGACAGGTCTCAGTAGCTTCCCCTATGTTTCCACTTGGGGTCAAAGGTGGACAAAGTGGGGGCTGAAGTCACTCGGACTGTCTTCTCTGGTCACCTGGTCCAATAAGAGGCTCCACACCTCTTTGCCTCTCGGTGGCGCTCTCTTTTCTGTCCCCTTCGTCTCAATTCAGGGCTCCCTGGTTCCAAGGCTCTGACTGGGCGGGGCCAGGAGCTAGGTTGGGATTGGACAGGCCCCGGGGGGGGGGTCCCTGGCGGTGCTAAGTTCTGATTGGGTGGGGTCAGGACCCGCCCAGGCAGCTGGGTTTTCTGATTGGGCAGGGGATGAGGGGCATCCGAGCTGGCTCGCCGCTTCAGCAGGACAGGCCTCGCTGTCCCCACAGCCGTCGGGCAGGATCGCTTTCCTTTAGGACAGTCCGGAAGGCATCCTGCCCACGTCCTGTGTCTGGTGCCCTGTCCCTAGGTGCACCCACCTACAAATGACCTGTGAAGGCCGCTGTGGCCAGCCAGGTGTGCTGGCCACTGGGCAGCGGTCAGCAGGTGGACCTCGCTCCTGGCTCGGGCGTGTCTACGCGGTCTCCCGGAGGATCGGGCTCCCAGAGGAAGCTCACAGGGGTGAGCAGCTCAAAGACGGCCCTCTACTGCACACCTTCCTTTCCGTCTTTCTGCCTCAATCCCAAATAAACCTCTTGCCCCGGGGTCACCGTCTGGGGGACCCTTTAGGCTTTTTATTATTAAACTTCTTTTGGAGGTGTTGGGGGTGGAACCAGGAGCACCCCCAGCCCCTTGGAGGGAATTTTGAAGGAGGGTCTCCCAGGTGACCAGGGAGGAAATTAGAAAACAAACAAAATAAAATAAACAACAAAAACCCCACCAGGCTATTTGGACCTACCTGTCCCCTCTTCAAAGCAGGTGGTATGAAATTTCCCCATATAAAATTCTAATCCTATGATTGCAAAAATAAGTATTGCAAAAAACAGAAGGAGGCCAATTTGTAACAGAGGAATCATCGCCTTCATGATCGACTTCAGGACGACTTGTAAACCTAGGGGAGACACAGAGAGACGCCCCAAAGCCGGTGAGCAAGCACACCCCAAACCCTGCCTCCAGGACCCTCCCCAGAGAACCCATGGCAAAGGGAGATGATGGAGAAACCTCACAGAGGCTGGATCAGCCCTTTCTAATTTTAAAAAGCCCTAGTAATATTAAAGAATTTCTTTTAAAAAGGTATTTGCCGCACACTTTTTGGTCATGAAAGCTATTCATGTCTTTTTGAGCCATTTTTGGGTGCTGGGCAGTTTCTATCCAGAAGGGGGCGCTGTTCTCTTAAAGTTCCCCCCCTCCCCCCACCCAGCATCTTTTCCTAAGCGCCCTATAGACCGACTACTTGTGGCTCTGCCTAGGACAGCAGCCAGCAACCCCACGCTCTGCTCCAAGGAACCAGACTCACTGGCTTCTAGCCATGGCCTGAGGAGGGGCTGCAGATGTAAAAATCAGTCCAGTTTACAGAAGTGGGAAACAAGGCCCAGAGAGGTGTTGAGACTTCTCTAAGGGCCCAAGGAATGGCAGTATTCGAACCCCAAACCATCTGACTCAAAGCCCTGATGGGACTTCTCTGTTCTGAGCTACTCCTCTTCCTTCCCTTCCTTTCCCTTCCCTCTTCCCTCCTTCCTTCCTTTTCTTCCTTTTTTCCCTATCCTTCCTCTTTCCTTCTCCCTCTTTCTCTTCCTCATTCTTTCCTCCCTCCCCCCTTCCTTTTTTTTTTCTTTTCTTTTTTTTGCAGCACAGGGTCAGAATGACACTTCCAACTCCCTTCTGAATCAGGTCAAATCCTATGACTGTGACCACCGTGCTATATACAGTTGTTCCTGGGTATCCACAAGGGACTGGTTCCAGGAGCTCCCCTCCCCCCATGGCAAAATGGACAGATGCTCAAATCCCGTATATAAAATGAGGCATTTGCAAAGCACGTAAGAAAGTCATCTCTAGATTGCCTAGAATACCTAATAGAATGTAAATGATATGTGAGTAGATGCTACACTGGATTGTTGAGGGATTAATGACAAGGAAAAAAAATCTGTACAAGTTTAGAACAGATGCAGCTAGCTACCATTTTTCTGTGGTTGAACCCATGGGTGTAGAATCCACAGGCACGGAGGGATGACTGCATTAGAAATGCCTATGCTTAAAATTAGGTTCATACACACAGGTTGGGGCTTTGTGCCTTTTTAATTGTATTATTTTATTTTATATCATTTTATTTTATTTTTGAGACAGTGTCCCGCTATGCAGCCCTGGCTGGCCTGGAACTCAATCCTCCTGCTTCATCCTCCTGAGTGCTGGGATCACAGATGTGCACCACACTTGTAGGACTTCCAGACCACAGAGAGAGGGGAACTGTCGCCATGGGCGATGCTTGGAGGTGCCCATGATGTAAGGAGCAGCATGGTGGAGTGGTTAAGGCACAGGCCACTGTCAGTGCCAAGCTTGGATCCCAGCCTTGGGCACTGGCTGCTTATGGCTCCCGGCAGGCACCCCCTCTTTTATTTGTAGATTTATCCTTGGTGATTAAGGGCGGCCAGACCAGGGAGCTACTGCTTCTCCACCTCCTGTCACCCATAACTGACCAGAGATGTGTCTGCCTCAACTGGAGGTCGACTCCACTGCCCCATCCACCCCAGAGCGCTCCTTTGGTCAGGCTGAGGCTAAACTGCAGCTGAGACAGACAACACCCTTGCTAAACTCCTTCTCTTCCCGTCCTGCTGCCCAAAGATGGTTACCACAACCGTCCACCTAGGGTTAAATAAGAAAGTTCATGCCTAGCAGTGTCCCTCACAGGCCCCTGGGTTAAAGGTTGAGGCTTGGTCTACAACCTGTGACCCAACCGGGAGATGGTGGAGCCTTTAAGAGGTGGGGCCTATTGGGAGGAAGTTAGGTTATTGGGGGCGTGGCCTCAAAGAGGATATTGGGCCCTTGGCCCCTCCTCTTCCTCTTTTTGCTTCCTGGCAGCCATGAGGTGACCTTTGCCATGTGCTCCCAGCCAAAATGTGCTGTCTTGGCCACAGGCCCAAAACTAAAATATTCAAAAACTATGAGTCAAAATAAACTTTTTTTTTTGATGGGACTGGGTTTGAACTCACAAAGCAGGTATTCTACTGCTTGAGCCACACCTCCAATCCACTTTGCTCTGGTTATTTTGAGATGGGGTCTTGAGAACTAATTGCCCAGGCTGGCCTTGAACCTTGATCCTCCTGATCTCAGCCTCCCAAGTAATAGGATTACAGGTGTGAGACACTGGTGCCTGGCTACTTTTCATTTTTTGTAAGTTGGTTATCTCAGGCAATTTGTTATAGCAATGGAAAGCCCAATGACACACTAGCACAGTACCCGATGTGTCATATTAAACAGAGACTCGCTAGCATTGACTTTGTAAGCTGTTCCTAATTTAATATGATTCAAGCATCAGTTGGGATTTGAAATTTATCTTTTGGTGCTGGAGATGGACCTCAGGGCCCTTGCACTGCACTGAGTGACACCCCCAGCCCCTTCTGGGAAATTCTAACTCTTGAACCCGAAAAAACAAAGCCAGTAACATTTAAAACGGGGATGTAAACAGAATGAAACCCACGAGGTTGTGGTGAAGGTAAGTTGAGTTTAAAGAACAGGACCCACGTGGTCCAGTGCTCAGCACATAGTAGGTCTTCATAAGTGATTACATGGGGCCACTGAACAACCCTGTTCTGATTTGCTTTTAATGTTTGCAGCTGAACCAACACTGAATCCTGACCCTGGTGTTGCAGCCTCCTCCACGGGGTGGAGCAGGTGCATCTGTCCTCACAGAACGAGAAAAGAGAAGGAAGCCGAGTATGGGGTTGCAGCCTCAATCCCTGTCAACCTGTAAGAATTCAGGGTTGCTGAGAGATGGCAGACCCCTTGGGGCCCTTTACCAATCATCAGGAAAACCGTTCAATATTAAGCCTTCCGGAGCCTCAGCCTTCTAATCTGTAAAGTGGGTCACTGTGAGGACAAAGTAAGAGCACACAAAGCTCTTTTTACAGTGCCCAGTATACAGTAGGTACTCAATAAATGACAATGAGCATGCCCACCAGTTTCCTCTCTTGCTAACTCCTCATCTGGCCACTTCTTGACCACGTGACCCTGCTCCATTTTTTTTTTGGCCACTCAGTGCCTCAGTTTCCCCCTCTGCACAATGGAGAGAGGAGTGTTATCACCTTCACAGGGTTGGGGGTACTGAGTCAGATAAGGTGTGGAACCTGGTTCCTGAACAACAGGAGGTGTTTAATAAATGGATGAGGCTCCCAGGAGTCCCCAAGAGGAGGACCTGAGGTGGGGGCCTCCTGGGACGCACAGAAGAGGGGACACCCAGGGCTCCCCGGACCCCTGAGCAGAGCCCCGGGCAGGCTGGGAAACTCACGCACTTGGGATTCCAGAGACCAGCTTGAGTGGTCGGAGGACTCGAACTGCCCTCAAGGTCCGAAGGTCAAACTCCGTCCCCACTGTTGCCAAGATGCTGCAAGAAAAAGTCGGAGGGGAAAACAGAAGGTGGGTGTCAGGGTGAGACAGCTGGGCGGGGGCTCGAGGCTCCATCTTGTCCTTTATTGACTGGGTAACCACAGGGAGGTGATGTGATATTATGGGACCTCAGCTTTGTCACCTCTCAAGTGATGTTAATAGTTCCTACCTGTCGGATTAAAAGGTGATTTATGCCATGTTTCCTTTTCCTATTTTTTTCTTTTTTGAGACAGAGTCTGGCTATGTAGCCCAGGCTGACCTGGAACTCACGATCCTCCCGCTTCAGCCTCCCGAGTGCTGGGATTACAAGTATATACTGCCATGCCTTGCAAAAGGTGATTTTTAAAGCACATGATTTTAAAGCACATGACTGGGGTGACAACTGATATATTTCACAATGCAGAACCGGCACAGATCACGGAGGGGCCCAGGACCCTGAGGAAATGGCAGCCACTTCAGGGCTCTTTACCAGCCTGCAGAAAGGCAGTTCAGTATTGAAAGCTCAGCCTAGGCTGGGCATGGTGAGGCACGCCTGTAATCCCAGCACTCGTGAGGCAGAGGCAGGAGGATTTTGAATTCCAGGCCAGCCTGCGCTGCATAGTGAGACTGTGCCAACAACAACAACAAAGCAAAGTTCGATCTGCTGAGTTCAAATCCCTCCTCTGCCACTTCCCTGCTGGGTGACCTTGAGCAAGTCACTTCCCGCCTCAGTTTCTCCCTTGTGTATCATCGAGATATCGACAATATTAACACCTGGAAGGCTTGTGAGGTTAAGATAAGTAGATACTTGTGAAGTGGTCCAAACTTCCAGTGATAGGCACCCAGGCAGTGTGCTACATTACTCAAAATAAATAAATATAAAACCCAGGCCGGGCTCAGTGGCTGACTCCTGTAATCCCAGCTACCCAGGAGGTGGAGATGGGGAGGATTACATTTTAGACTGGCTTTTTATGATAGGCACGAAATGCTGAAAGCCAGAAGGCTGGATGGTTAAGAGGTGACAGCAAATAATTTGGGACAGTCTTGAGTTTAGTCTGAGGACCTGGACCCCTGACCACTGCAATCTGTGGCCAGCCAGTGTCTGTACCTCTTGGCTGCAGGGCTCACTCCCATGTGCTCCCGCCATGATGCTTTGCCTTACTTCAGGCCCAGAGCCACCAGGCCAAACAAACATGGTCTAAAACCTGCATGGACTGACTTCCAACAAGCCTGAGCCCCGCTTCCCAGGGGTAGCTTACCCCACAATTCACCTCCCTGCCTCCTCTCCACTCTTCCCTACTACTTCCCAGTTACTGCAGGATCTATTCTGGTTACCCCAAACTAGGACAAGGAGTAACTCCATTTTTTTAACAAGGATCTCACTATACAGCCCAGGCTGACCTTGAACTCTCAATCTTCCTCCCTCAGCCCTCCATGTGCTGGGATTACAGGCGTGCACTACTGGTATTTATTGAGTTCCTCCCATTCTGTCTGGTAGATGACCACTCTATTCCTATGTCTCCTTTTTCTTGGCAGAGAGAAGGTGTCATTTAGGGTGTGCATAACAAACCACATGCATTGGTTGAGTCTTGATTTATTCACTTTACAAACATTAACTGACTGCTGGGGACACAGGTCACAGGAATCCTGGTCCGTGTGGGCGAGGTGGAGAGTAAACTGGTAAATATGCCAGACGTCACAGCGATGAGTACCAACGAGGAAGACAGCCAGGTAAAGAGGTGGGGGACACCAAGGACAGGGTGGGGAATGGGAAGTGGTGACACTTGTATTCATAAGTGTCATCACCACCGAGCAGGGAAGCAGCTCAGTGTTGTGTTCAGACTGCACTGCGTGTGGGCAGGTGGTGACACCGTGCTAGGGCCCTGGGTTCCATCCCAGCACCACAAAAAGAGGGTCACACCATCATTGCTCTGTAGAGTCGCATATGAGATTCTAAATTTCTAACAGCCACTTTAAGAAAAGTTTTTAAAAAATAAGAATAAGTTTTGGAGATACTGGGATTAGAACTCAGGGCTTTGAGTGTGCTAGGCAGGCACTCTACCACGTGAGCCACACCTCCAGCTTCTTTTGCTCTGGTTATTTTGGAGATAAAGTCTTGCTTTCGGCCCAGCCCAGCCTAGATCCTATCCTCCTATTTTACACTTCCCAGTGTAGCTGGGATGACAGGCATGTGCCACCATGCTCATCTTTTTCCCATTGAGATGGGGTTCCTTGAACTTTTTTGCCTGGCCTGGCCTGGAACCATGATCCTCCTGATCTCAGCCTCCCAAGGAGCTAGTGTTATAGAATAACAGGCACGAGCCACTGGCACCCAGCAAAATGAATTTTATTATTACAGTTTATTTAATCCAGTCTACAAAGTACAACCATCCATTGGTGCCCACTTAGATACTGAAATCCAAGGATGCCTGACTCTATTTAAAGTGGGGTAGTATCTGCACAGAGCCTAAGCAGTCTCCTGTCCAGACCATCTCCTGATGACCTGCAGGACCTGATACGAGGTGGGTCCGTGTAAGTAGTCACTACACCGTGTTACTCAGGGAAACAGGAAAAAGAAGTCTGTCTATACGCGTTCAGTACAGAAACAATTTCTTCCCCAAATCCTTTTGATTCTTCTTTTTTCTTTTTGGTGTGACTGGGGTTTGAACTCAGGACTTCACACTTGCAAAGCAGGCTCTCTACCGCTTGAGCCACACCTCTAGTTCATTTTCTCTGGTTATTTTGAAGATGGGGTCTCAAGAACTATTTGCCTGGCTGGCCTCCAACCTTGATCCTCCCAGTCTCAGCCTCCCAAGTACCTGGATTACAGGTGTGAGCCACTGGTGCCTGGCTTATTTTTTGATTCTAGATTGGTTGAATCCTTGTATACAGAAGCTGTAACTATGAACAGCCAAGTGCATTATAATTTCACCAGGTAATCAACATGAGTTATTATTTATTTTTAAATTTTCTTTGAGACAAGGTCTTGCCATGTAGCCCAGGCTGGCCTAGAACTTGTGATCCTCCTGCCTCAGTTTCCCAAGTGCTGGGATTACAGATATGTACCACCATGCCCAGACAAATTATTATTAGTAAGACATTTACACATTATTTTCTTTGAAATCTGATGCATTTTTCTATACTCTCTGTGCATTGTAGTTCAAAATGCTGAAAGGCCACGCGTGGCCAGTGGCACCTGTATCGGACTACACTCACATCCAGACAAACAGGCATCTAAGTAAGTATTTAAAGAAAGCAAGAGGGCGGGCCACATGGATATGCCAGGGGAAAACTCTAGTCCTGTGCAAAGGTCCTGAGGCTGGACTGTGCCCGGGCATTTGAGGAACAGGGATGAGGCTGGTGTGGCTGGAGCCGAGTGAGCAAGAGGGACAGTGGAGGGGGGGGATGAGGGAGGGGAGGTGATGGAGAAGATGGCACAGGGCCCCGTGGATCCAAATGAGGACTTTGACATTCCCTCCTGAGATGATGGGAGCCATGGAGGAGTCTGGGCAGGGAAAGGACATCATCACAGTTGTACGAAAATACAGTCCCAGCTGGGCATGGGACGCACACCTGTAATCCCAGCACTCAGGAGGCAGAGCCAGGAGGATGGTGAGTTTGAGGCCAGCCCTAGCTGCAAACCAAGACCCTGTCTCAAAAATAAATAAAGCAATGCAATCCCTGTGCAAGGAGAGACCAGAAACCAGGAGACTGGAGAGGATCTGACACAAGGGTCCAGGTGACCACCCGAAGGACTGAGTCCCAAAGGTCATTCTGGGAGCCATGATGACTTAGAGCTCAACTGAACTCTGCCCTAAGGAGACCACTCAAGTACAAGTTCTGACCCCAGAGAAGAAGAGGAGGGCAGGAATAAATACTGACCAGGGACACCAGCGTTGTGGACCCCTAATCTAGAACACAGGCAGAAATTCTCAGGACCAGGGTTAAATCCTGCACACCCATCCAAGCCTCAAAAATGCAGACATGCGACCTCATCACGTCCCATGAAATCCCAGCCAGCACCCAAGACATATTCCGTCCAGTCTCTGTCGCGGGAAGGATGACAAGGAATTGGGAGGGGAAGGGGAGAACGGGGAAGGACTCTCCGACTCAGAGCAGGAGGAGAAGCTGGAGGGTGCAGAGATGAGTCCTGTGGACAGTGGGAGTCATGTAAGGTTGTGGAGTGAGGGAAGGACGTGATTAGGGTTGGCATGGGGAAGACAAGCCTGACAGCTGAAAGGACAGATTGGTGGTGATGAAGCAGAAGTTAGGAGGGAGCTGCAGAGCAGGCTGCTGTAATGAGGGCTGGAACTAGGACAGAGGCGGTGGGAGTACAAAGGAGGCCCTGATTTATATATAACTGCCACTAGTAGCTGGGGACCAAGGAGCTCTCCTGGGTGCACTACATCCGCCCTGCATCCCAGCCATCATCAGTTTGAGTCCCATTTTACAGAGGCAGAAACTAAAGCCCACAGAAGTCAATTACAAGCCAGGCATGGTGGTGCACGCCTGTAATCCCAGCACTCAGGCAGAGGCAGGAGGACTGTGAGTTTGAGGCTATCTTGGGCTTCCCAGCAAGACCCAATCTCAAAAACAAAACCATCCAGAAGTTAGTAACACACAGAGGTCCATACCACCAAGTAAAAACTCGAACCCAGGAGCACAGGACTCTTACATCCCACAAGTCCAGTGCACTGGGCTTCACTCAGTCACCTGGATCGTTAGATTGGGTGAGAGGCCAAGCTGAGGAAGAAGAGATGTTCATTCATTTATTCAACTTTGTAGGTGCCTGGTCCCCAGGTAGGGTCCAAAGCGCCCTCCATAAACAAGACAGAATGAGAGAATACATAGATAGAATACAGACAGTGCTGCAGAGGACATTATGGTGGCCCCCAGGGCTTCCAATGGAAGGACCCAGGTTCAGGTGGGAGAGAGATGGGTCAGGACATGTATTTGGCATAAGCTGCCTCAAAGATGCCAACAGAGGTGGGGAAGATGGAGGAGAGAGTAGGGTTGGAG